AAAAAAAAAAGAAAGAAAGAAAAGAAAATCTGAATTCTGAATCAGTTATGATCGGCGTATCACTAATTAAAATACTAAGTAAAAGGCCTCAAATTTGAAGTACAATCTGGGATGTCTTTTTCTATCAATTCTTCAATAGGTAGATCTTGTCTTTCATAAAGGCCGAGGTCAGGGATCTTGGGCCTAAAAAGGTTGGTGACCACTGCTCTAGAGCGTGCCGATCAAAAACACAGACCAGGAAGACGCAGAAACGAGCGATCTCGTATGTAAGCATATGCATATAAAAATAATGTGATCATCAACACTAACCGCATATAAATGAAAACTGCCTGATGCTACAGAGTGAAATGTGGATCCAGAAAGACCTGTGCAAGCTTTAGGGGTGCTGATGGAAGCCATCTACTGCATATTTGCTTTGATCATTGTACTGAATATGATGCAGATGTAGTATTTGATAAAAATGTGATTTTCTCAGCTTTTTGCTCAAAATGTTGCTTTTTTATGAAACCTACCTACATTCAAGTGTTGATAAAAAAAAAAAAAAAACAGGGCTTGAAGCTAGAATTAATCAGATTTTTTGTTTGAAAGTAGAGGGTCTGATCTTTATTTTGATGTATTGCATGTTAGATAGTCATACAACAAATATATTCAGATATTAATTTTTTCAAAAACGCTGGCGGGGAAAGAGTTAAACATAATTTTACTGTTTTTATGAAATCCTATTGTTTGTGAGACTTCATGGAATATTTAGTTTTTAGTCATTTGTTTGGTGATTTTTTTTTTTATTTTTTATGTAATGCATTAATATTGTAAATAACCATTTGAAGTGAAAATACAGTTTTTTGCCAGGGACATCAAATGAAAATTAGAAAATAAACAAAGTTTTAAAAATGCATTTAATACACCTTAAACTATTTTAAAACAAATGATACAATGTGATGTTTAAAAGTACATTAATATGGATATAAAAAAAACAATGATGCTTACAGGACCTCAGACATATACTTTCCTTTAAACAGACATTTCATTAATATTCATTTAAAATTTTTAATAATTTAAGCATGGAATTTTACTGTTATTATTTTTATTATGCATTGTTTTAATACATGCAAGATGCCCATAACAGTTCAAAATGAACTCATGATGAGAAAAAGATGATTAAAACTCGTGAGAAACAAGAAAATGCTGACCAGAAACAGGACTTGTGATGCCCATGTTGTTTAATTCATTCTAGGGCTGTGCAATTAATCGAAAAACAGTTTTGATTTCAGCCTCCAACGATTATGAAAATACAATAATCGAGATAAAACGATTATTGTGGCCCATTCCACCCCCTTTCGTACCTCCATAAAAGCCCAATTTCACGTGCAAATCAGTACAATCATGTAATGTGACTTTTGCAAAATGGGATGTGCTTGATTTATATATGTATTCACGTTTTTAAAAGCGTGAAAGAGAACTCGCGCTGCTCCTCAGGAAGAATCATCTAAAGTCATCTTTTAGCGCCTAAACGGTCAAATACACACCAAAATGTGGCACTTAGTGATTATTCATGTATACCTTCGTCGGTCATGTAATAAATTAACGTAAAGAGTTGAGAATGTAAATACGCGTGTAACGTAAATTGTATCCGTGCGGCTCTTAACGTGACAGCGGGCTATTTTCCTGCTGCGACTGTGTGCTTCATATTCATTAACAACAAAAGACCAATTCAAAATCACACACTGCTCTCGAGTGAAGGACTTCTGTAGCTTTAATAAGAAACAAAAAAGTTGAATTCTTATAGTGAAGACTATGCCGTTTTATTTTACATTTGATTGTTCATTTCTGTAGTAGGCTGTAAACTGCTCGAGACTTGCATAAAAAGCAGTTTGTTTCATTTGTATCTTTTTATTCTATTGTATTTGTCCTTTGCTTTTTTAAAATTTTTTGTTACTGACAGTTTAATTATTTTCAGTAATTTTGAGGACTTTTTGTTTGTTTGTTTTGAAATGCCGCCGGTCTCTACAATGTCGATGTTATAGCAACCTTATTTACAGGAAATATATATTTGATAATGTATCACTATCTTTAAATAAATCACTCATGTAAAGTTTTGGTCATATGGCCCCCTCATAATAGTGATTACAATATTGGCCAAAATAATCGTGATTGTGATTTTTGCCATAATCGAGCAGCCCTAATTCATTCACTAGTTTGTTTTTCTCCGATTCCTGACGTGTTGATTTCTGCTCCTGCAGATTTTGAAGCCGGCAGAGAAGAAGAAGCCAAACTCCAGTCGTCCAGTGACTCCTCCCAGGAACGTGGTCACCAAACAGGCCAAGAAATGAGGCTCGCGCGAGCCGGCTGGACTTGTATCATACGCTCAGATCAGGATGAACCGTCCACTGCGTCTTTATTTCCGTTCTTGACCTCGTGTTTTCCTCGTTTACCGTCCCGAGCGGCCGCTCGCATATTAGAGGGGAGCCTTTTAATCTCACAAACGGCTTTTTATTCCCACTTCAGGACGATGAATCAGTTTGACACAGCGTCTCCTCGCATAGAAATCCAGGAGGAACGCCACGTTTAAGATGCAAACCACTGTGAACCAACCAGTCTGTTTTTTTTATGCACCTGAAGCTTTTTTGTATTTTGGTCTCGTGAATGTGCCACGAGGTTTGACATTCAGTCCGCTTTTATCATTTAGATTTTGTACTTTTTTTGTTTTCATGATCGCAAACGAACGGATGTTGTGCGAGTGTGTGAACTGAAACATCAAGTTTCTGTGTTTTGACGCGATGCCTTGTTTTCTTCTTCTTGGGTTCTGGCATGTTGATGTGCCGGACGTTTCTGTTGCATGCATTAGTGTTCGAGGAATAGGACACAAGGCCGTGGCTTTCTCTCGGGGCATGCCACCTTCAGCATGTCTTCAGAATAATGTAGCTCCTCATCAGGTGGATCACGTCAGGAAAACTTTTTTCTTGCAAATTTCTACAGTATTTCATATAAATTCTGTTTAACCCAAACTCTCACTGTAAATATACAGGAAATGTTTTGTTCAGTCTTGGCAATAATTCAGTTTTCCACACTATAAATAATTGTTATACTTGCAGAATAAATCGAAGGGAGATGGAAACATTATTGCAGCGTTCGTTTGTTCATTTCAGACATGCATGCGATTTAAAGGTGAAATTAAAATGAATTCGGAGCTAGGTTCACTAATCATAAAACAAAATTCTCTCAACATTCTTCAGTTTTATTTCATGACTTGAGAATTATTTTGTATTCCCAACAATACTTTTAAATTGTTCTCAAGAGGTTAAAAATTATATAAACATCACAACTGTTCTTAAATGAGCAAATATAAATTATTCAATTATGTTTAAAAAAAATGAAGATTGAAAAATTAAGAAATTAAATGTTCGTAAGAAAAAACTTGATTAAAAACGTTGTTCTTAAAAATACTTAAGAACTTAGATGTTAAAATATTTAAGAACTTAAATGTACTAAGCATTTAAGATTAAAAAAATGTTTTTAGAGAAATATCTGCGAGCTTAAAAAGTTGCTTTTAAGAAAATATTTAAGAACTGAAAAGATGCATTTAAAAAATATTTGAGAACTTAAATGTTCTTAAAACGTCTGAAAATTTAAAACATGCTTAAAATATTAACATGAAATTCGTGGAAGAAAAAAAAGAAAAGTTGGGTGCTAAAAATACATTTTTTGAGAATTTGAGAAAATATTTGAGAACTGAATTTTAAAAGCTCTTCAGGAATTATTTGAGATTTATAAAGCATTGCACTTGGAACATTATGCTTGCTTGAAAAAATGTTCATGACACTGTAATAACATTTCACCATTCAATCAATGAACCTCGACCTACATTTCTGTTGAATATTTCAATGCAGAAATACATCTGGAATAAAAGTGACTAAAACGTCTGCCAGTAAAATATGACTGGAGTCATTAACATAAAGTGTTGCATTATTTATTTATTATATAAACAAATACATTCTGTATTAAAATAAAACAAAATGATTGCAAAGATTTGATTCATAAACAGATCTGTGCAAATTAAGTACAATTCACAAACCCTTTATAGTTTCTCCAGCCCATCGTTTATGGAAATGCATATACTTTTCACGAAAGGAAGGACAAGCATCGCACATATGTCTCATAATCGATCCCTCTGTTCATTCCTTTACTTCCTGATGCACAAAGAAAGACCATGAAAATGACATTTGATCGTCAAGCATGAAGTCACAGATGCAGATCAATAGACCTGCATTATGAATAATGGATTCTTGTATTAAATGCTTGTTCACATTAAAGTAGTTCTGTTCCTTTAACAGCGCCTCGAACGAGAGAAAAGCATTTCTATTGCATTGAATATTTCACCATGAATCAAATGTCAAGCACTTAAAAGTCAGTCTCATAACTGAGAAATATGAAAGCTGTTTATGCATAATTATCACCATCTTCACTAGATCTGTGTTTTACGAGCTGCTTTGGAGCTCGAGCGTGTAAACAGTCGCAGGATCGTATAAAAACGTGAGTTTGAGGTCTCGTTGATGTTTTGCAGGAGAGGGAGAAATAAATACTCGTCCGTAAGAAGGCAATGTGGTGATCCGGTCCAGCAGACTGTGGAAAAGTGCTTCTGTCGTCCTGGAAGAAGCGAAACGTGATGAAGATCAAACCTCTCGGAAAAGACGGCCTGTTTGTTGCGTGAACTGAAATGTGAGATTTGGCGATGTTGAGTGACGTTACATTCCTCGGCTAAAAACTACATGCAAACAAACAACATGAAGGCTGAAGCAAGATTTCACACAAAAATGAAGATTCTGTCATCAGATTTCCAGCATGGAATAAAAATGTTCTTAAAAAATTTTTTTTAAATGAATTTTTCTCCACTTGGAAAATTTGTATGCACTTTTATTTTTTTGGAAGTTATCAAAACGTTTGCTATCTTTCATTGTTTCTCAATCTTCTCTTAAAACTCACTTTCTCTGAGTCGTTTTGTTTTTCTTTTTGTATTTCAATGCATTTGTTTATTTTTTAAAGCGCTTTGAGATGCAACTTTTAAAGGCGCTATAAAAACTAAAGTTTATTATTGTTGTTTGCACAATTCATCAGTGCATGTTATTCTAAAGAAAGAAATAATTTCTCATGAACAAATGAAATGTTTTCATTGATTAATGCAATTAACACAACGATTAATGCAAAAAACCTCAACATAATCAAAAAATTGCTCAGGATCAGCAGAAGTGTAAATATGACACTGAAATTTAAAAAAATAATCTAATTTTGATGATAAATTGGTAACACTTTACCATCAAGGTTTCATTTGTTTGCATAAACTAGCAATGAAAAATACTTCTAAAGCATTTAGAAATCTTAATGTAAACATTTATTAATATTATAAAATCAAAAATTTTATTTTTATTAACTAATGTTAGTAAAGATAAATATATTGTTCTTAATAGTTAATGTTAACAAATGAGACTTTATTGTAAAGTGACGTTACAGATAAAATAATATATTGATGTTTAACATCTCATCAGCCAATATAAGTGGTGTTTTAACAAATCAATAATTCATCTCATATTGATCATTTGTGGCCTTGATTTGTCTGCAATCTGTATTTACAGTTCATAAATCTGATTATGGATCATAAACCCAGCACAGATTACCAATGTTAGGAAACTGGGTAAATGATGACAGAATTTTCATCGGAGGCTTAACTAGTCCTGTGAGGCCTGAGAGTTTAATCTCATTTATTGCTCAAAACTCTATTTCTCTACACTGTATGATTATGAAATTCTTAAACTAAACCAGCGACGAGTTTGTCTCTTTGTGCTGCTGTACTCATTCTGAGATTACGAATAATTATGAGGATTTTTGCTCATAATTACCGGTTTGACTAGTAAAAGCATAAAAACTGTGAACCTCATAATCATAAATGGGAAAAACTGAACAGTATAAAATAAACGCCGTCTCCTACTTGACAAAACGAGCACGTCTGAGGGCTTATGCTTTTTGTTTCTGGACAGTCGCTGTTGTGTAAAAGAGCAGCGTGAACATCCCGAGAAACGTCTTCTTTCATGTTCCTCAGAAGAGATGACAGAATGATGACTTTTGTGTGGTTTTGCTGAGACGGTGATGTCTGGAGGGTTTGGTGTGTCACACACGTGTCTCGTGTTCGTGAGTTTTCACGAGTTCAGAGCGAGGTCTCGCTGGTGTGCGGTCGAGACGTCTCCTCCTCCAGAAGAGCGATGCGCTGTTTCAGCATCCGCACCTGCGTCTCGTGCCGCTCCACCATCGCCATCATCTGAGACTCCAGCTTCTTCAGCTTGTTCTGGTGCTTCTTCTTGGCTTTCTCGTACGCCACCACCAGATTACTGCGTGATACAAACACAGCACAGCTTTAACTGCTGGACTGACCATCCGCTGACATGCTCTGCTCCATCACTACTCATCAGCTCCAACGCTTTAGCTCACTGAAATAAAAACTTCACGAACATCAAAAACACTGCCTTGGCAACTCACTGAAATAAGTTTAAGTACTAAAAATAAACTGTAATAAATATAAATTAAAGCTGAATAGAAATATAAACAAATATTAGATGGAAAAAAATATGTGAAACACTTACTAAAAATGTACTAAACCTAAAACTTAAAAAACAAAAAAAAGAAACAGCTGAACAGAAATGTAAAACACACAAAAAAAACGTATACACACACACACACACACACACATTTGTTTTGTTTGTAAAAAAACTAAACTAAACTAAAGCTAAATAGAATAAAAAATGCAATAAAATAAAAAAAATATTAGATAAAAACTTAAATTTAAATGAAAATTAAAAATGTTGCCTTGGCAACTAATTAAAATAAGCTGAATTACTAAAATTACTAAAACTAAAATAAAAATAAAGCTAAATAAAAATATAAAAAAATGAATAAAAATGACAAAAGCACAAAATAAAATATAAATAGTACATGGAAAAATCCAGTGTTAAAAAAAGAACTAACGAAAATTAGAAATGTTGCCTTGGCAACTAACTGAAATAAGTTGAAGTACTGAAAATAATTAAGGCTCAACAGAAATATAAAAAAGTGAATATAAATGACGAGTGCATAACAAAAAAATATAAATTAAAAGAAAAACTTAAAAAAAAACAAAACAGAAATGTTGCCTTAGCAAGTAACTGAAATAAGCTGAAGTACCAAAATTACTAAAGCTGAAATAAAACTGTTAAAGCTAAACAGATATATTGAAATAAGAAAAGAAAAAAGCACATAAAACAATTTTTTAAAATAAAATTAAAACCGAAAATATAAAAATCAAAGCTGATTCTAAATATGTGACCCTGTCTGTGAAAACCCAGCTAAAGTCATTTTTTAGTGATTTACTGTTTTCTACATAAAATCATCCTTCATAATGTAAAGAACATTCTGTGAAAATATAACATTTATATCTTTAATATTGACTGAGTAAGGCCATGTCAAAAATTGAAATCATAGTGAAATTAATGGTTGAAATCAAACTTTGATGCTTGTTATCTCATAATTAGATTTTGAGACTTTAGCCTGGATTTCACAGAGAGGGTCACATATTAATAAACAGTATAATAATATATAAATAACACTAAAATAACCCTGGTAAATGCAAACACACATATTCAGCAGCAATTTTCCATGTGCAATAACAGCATTAATGGTGTTCGGTGACATTTGAGCAGGAGAGTTTGAGCAGCTTGTATTAAACACTATTAAACGCTGAGACCAGCAGGAGGCGCTGCTCAGCCCAACACAAACATCCACCGCTCCACTGAATCTGTTTTCAAATCAGTCCAAACCTCTGAGCCGTTTGTTCGTGTGTGTTTGGTACCTGTTTGCTCGTTTCAGGTCGTTAACGAACTCCGCCGACTGCTGATGTCTGACTTCACTGCTCTTAGTCAGTCTTTCTAACGCCGCCACCAACTCCTGAACACGACCCTTCAGCTTCTTCTCTCTGCAACACACACACACACACATACACACACACACACACACACACACACACACACACACACACACACACA